AGAAGTGGCTTTAACTTGTGAAGGCTTTGCCATGCAACCCACTTCTCCGATATTAATAACAAACAGGAGTCTAATAGTTCTTAGACAAGAAGTGAACAACGTCGGAAAAGAAGCCGTTTGAGCTTACTTATAAAGATGTCGCAGCGCACGGACTGTTGGGAACCAATCTTATGAGTTGGAATTAGTTCTACACAGCTGACTTAATGCATTGTTTAACTACTAGTATTTTACAATCACATGAACAGTCGTCTCGGAGTCCGTAAACTATGACTGAGTGTGGAATTCATGTTAAAGTGCCGCATGGTATCTTATTGGGCAAGCGCTATGGAATCGGCAATAGTCCGGGCTAGTACAAGCAGGCGCACACGTCGCTATAAAAGCCCAATAATATTGAACGCGACGCCAACGCCCTTTTCCCTCACCTCTGGTAGCTTTTGCGTGACGTCATACCCCGATAACGTTGATACAAGCTCGTGCTTTCAATCACAGGTTTCATATAACACACCGCAAAAGCCATAAATTATTCATTTACTGCATGTTTGCGATACGGCGTTAATGTGATAGCACTGTCAACACCAAGTCTTCAGAGCGTTGATACGGAGCCTCCTGCAGCTAAACGCGGGCACGATGTAACCGCTATGCGACGCGTCGACGTCGTCCCAGCCGTGGAAATCACTGCGAAGTCCCATGTCTCTTATGAACTAACTGTACAGCAAAACCTCGTTAATCCGGACAAAATCAACCTCAGTCAAAACGCCCGGATTAGAGTAACCTCAAGATAAAAGAAACATTGATATAAGTAGTTTCTCTGAGTATATGTGTAGACCCCCCTTTTCCCCAACAGTAATCGTCCGTAAGACGGGGTTCCGGATAATAAGGGTTTTAACTATACACGAGTGATGAACCTTAGTGAGGACATCACAGGGAAGTAGAACCATTACCCTCTGTGTCAAATATAACTACACCGGGCTGTTCATGAAGAACTCCGTACAGTGCAACCTCTTTAATGCAGACGGTGCCGTTCCCTGTATTATCACCGGATCAACGAATTAATTAAACGGAGTAGTGAGTGAGTTAGTTGGGTTTTACGCCGCTTTTAACAGTATTCCAGTTATATCGCGGCGTGTCAGCTTAATGTGGGAGGAAAGCCCGAAGTGATGCAGGCCTCAGACGTTTACCACTTCGGTGAAACCCACGAGCACGGGTATGGTGCTGACAAACCTAGAAACATAATCGGGGTGAACCGGGATTCGAACCCACAATCATAGGTTTCTGGCGTGTCCAGGGGACGCAACTCTGCACAGCAATAAACGGAGTAACGCTATTTGTATATATGTACATACAAACAAGAACACTGCGAGTTTTTGGAAAAAAACGGGACATTATTCCTTTTCAAGGTTTTCTTAACTCGCTCTCTCAATGTAGAGCTAAATTACCTGTAAGATTTAACCGCGAAACCGAACGCGCAGTGTATGATGAATAAGATCATGACGGATGACTTAGATGAGTGTTTGTTTGGTTGGTTGTTTAACGCCGCACTCAACACTATTCCAGCTATACAACGGCGATCTGAAATAATCGAGAGCTTGATATCATGAGCATCGATCCACGCAATTGGGATACGATGACATGCATCAACCAAGTCCGCGAGCCTTACCACCCGATCCCGTTAGGCGCCTCTAACGCGTGATTAGTAGACTGTAATATTAATATTGCCCCAACGAGTTCCGAGACGCATACCATCACCGTGTAGAATAAGATCCCCAGCAACCTCTGCTTGTATGAGACGACTAAATGGGTCGGGTAGTCAGGTTCGATGACTTGGATGATTACACGTCGTTGTACCCTGACGGCGCAGATCGTTCCTCACAGATTCAATTACCGGTTTGTCTGGTCCAGATTGGACTATTTACTTGCCGCCGTCAGAAAACTGAGTGCGGCGTTAAACACAAACAAAACAACAACTAAGAGCGGGCTACCTTGTTGTTGAATCGAACACGGACTTTGTGGAGACGGGCCGACGCATCAAACACGTGGCTAAGTACCGCTTTAAGGAAGATGTTGCTGGTTTAAAGCGCTGCGCTGTCGATGGTGCATGTAAGGTGGCAACTAGTCATGAGTAATACAGGAAACTGTCCATACACAAAAGTGTCGGATGCAGTGATGCTTTTCAGCCGACTGGCGACTGCCAGATCATTGTTACTGAAGTAACTGAACACTCTTGTAACAGGGCGTTAACGATTGGTGTCTGGGTACACTCGCCCCATATTGTTTGTGTGTTTGTTGTTTAACGCCGCATTCACCAACTAGTCCAACTTAATGACGTCGGTCTTAAAGTGTCGAATCTGGACGGGACAATCCAGTGACAGACATAATGAGCATCGATCAATTCAAATGAGATGCGATGACATGCATGAACCAAGTTTGCGAGACCGACCACCCGACCCATTCAGTCGCCTCTTACGATAAGCATAGTCGCCTCTTACGACAAGCATAGTCGCCTCTTACGACAAGCATAGTCGCCTCTTACGACAAGCATAGTCGCCTCTTACGACAAGGAGTCGCCTCTTACGACAAGCATAGTCGCCTCTTACAAGCATAGTCGGCTCTTACGACAAGCATAGTCCCCTCTTACGATAAGCATAGTCGCCTCTTACGACAAGCATAGTCGCCTCTTACGACAAGCATAATCGCCTCTTACGACAAGCATAGTCGCCTCTTACGACAAGCATAGTCGCCTCTTACGACAAGAATAGTCGCCTCTTACGACAAGCATAGTCGCCTCTTACAAGCATAGCCGGCTCTTACGACAAGCATAGTCGACTTTTACGACAAGCATAGTCGCCTCTTACGACAAGCATAGTCGCCTCTTACGACAAGCATAGTCGCCTCTTACGACAACCATAGTCGCCTCTTTCGACAAGCATAGTCGCCTCTTATGACAAGAATAGTCGCCTCTTACGACAAGCATAGTCGCCTCTTACGACAAGCATAGTCGCCTCTTACGGCAAGCGTAGTCACCTCTTACGGCAAGCATAGTCGGCTCTTACGACAAGCATAGTCGCCTCTTACGACAAGCATAGTCGGCTCTTACGGCTAGCATAGTCGGCTCTTACGACAAGCATAGTCGGCTCTTACGACAAGCATAATCGCCTCTTACGACGAGCATAGTCGGCTCTTACGGCAAGCATAGTCGCCTCTTACGATAAGCAGAGTCGCCTCTTACGACAAGCATAGTCGGCTCGTACGACAAGCATAGTCCCCTCTTACGACAAGCATAGTCGCCTCTTACGACAAGCATAGTCCCCTCTTACGATAAGCATAGTCGCCGCTTACGACAAGCATAGTCGCCTCTTACGACAAGCGTAGTCGCCTCTTACGACAAGCATAGTCGCCTCTTACAAGCATAGTCGCCTCTTACGACAGGCATAGTCGCCTCTTACGACAGGCATAGTCGCCTCTTACGACAGGCATAGTCGCCTCTTACGACAAGCATAGTCGCCTCTTACGACAGGCATAGTCGCCTCTTACGACAAGCATAGTCGCCTCTTACGACAAGCATAGTCGCCTCTTACGACAGGCATAGTCGCCTCTTACGACAGGCATAGTCGCCTCTTACGACAGGCATAGTCGCCTCTTACGACAAGCATAGTCGCCTCTTACGACAGGCATAGTCGCCTCTTACGACAAGCATAGTCGCCTCTTACGACAAGCATAGTCGCCTCTTACGACAAGCATAGTCGCCTCTTACAAGCATAGTCGCCTCTTACGACAAGCATAGTCGCCTCTTACAAGCATAGTCGCCTCTTACGACAAGCATAGTCGCCTCTTACGACAAGCATAGTAGCCTCTTTAGACAAGCATAGTCGGCTCTTACGACAAGCATAGTCGCCTCTTACGACAAGCATAGTCGCCTCTTAGGACAAGCATAGTCGCCTCTCACGACAAGCATAGTCGCCTCTTAGGACAAGCATAGTCGCCTCTTACGACAAGCATAGTCGCCTCTTACGGCAAGCGTAGTCGCTTCTTACAAGCATGGGTTGCTGGGACCCTACCTGGAATTCCGACGGGTATCGCCCCATTTGTCCCATTGTTGTCAATTGTCTAGGTACCTTGGTACCAGGAACTGCGCAGTTCTCTACTGTGTCTGCTACTCGGGATTTCCTTTAGCGAATGTTGTTTAACGCCGCAGTCAGCAATACTCAAGCTATATAACGACGGTCGGTAAATAATCGAGTCTGGTTCAAGGAAGTCAACCAGTGACCGAACACATGAACAATGATATCCTTTTACGCCGCTTTTACACATTGTACAACGTTTGGGAATCGAACCCGGGTCTTCGGCATGACAAAAGAACGCTTCAAACACTATACTACCCAACGGTAACTACCAACGCCCTTACATTCGGGAATAATGTAACTATACACGGCATTTTACATAGGAGTGTGATTCACAAGTTTGTTTGTTTGTTTGTTATTTAACGCCGCACTCGGCAATATTCCAGCTATATGACGGCGGTCTGTAAATAGTAGAGTCTGGACCTGACACTCCAGTGACAGACATCATGAGCATCGATCCACGCAATTGGGACCAATGTCATGCATCAACCAAGTCAGGGATTCACAAGTTTAAGTACCAATTACTGGATTCTCTGGTCCAGACTCGATTATTTACAGACCGCCGTCATATAGCTGGAATATTGCTAAGTGCGGCGTTAAACAACAAACAGAGAGACCCATTTATGGAATCGAGTTCAGCCACATCGTTGTCCAAGTCTCCCAATTATATAACAAGTAAAAAGGGTTAATCAAACTTTAGAAGCTGGCAGCAATATTGCACTTTTACTGTACAACAGGGGGGGTATCCAGAATTGATTCTTAGTTTACCTGTTGCTGAATCGAACTCGTGTGTGAGCACTATCTACTCGGCTAACTGAGAAGAATTTGATGTCGCATTTGTATTTGTTTCAGTTCAAAAACGAATAACTATAATTGTTTTATATGAATCATTTTAATAATCACCATCAGTAACAAGGCACGTTAATGCTAATAAATATCACAGAGCACGATCAGCTGTCGAAGTGTCACGTGACACGATGCATAGAGTTGTGTCGAATATGAACTGTTCGGATAACGTTGCATAGTCTTTGGTGTTAGTATCCGTTTCTTAGGGAATGTCAATTGGTCCATTGGAAAGGCTTGCCTCCTTGAGGAATTGTCAGAAATAATTTGGCCCTTAAGAATAACGACCAATGCTATTAATATGTCCCACAAATCAGAACAGGTAGCCACGCTCATATTTCCCCGTTGACCAGCAACAGGGGAGACAACCGCTTCTCGATAGTCACACGTTCCGTCATCAAAGGAATAGCGTAATTGCATCATCCAGTTCATTTTGGCTCATTCGTCAACGTTCATTGAAACATACACGAACACATGTGCAATCGACATGTGCTAGCAGTGTGACGCACATGTAGTTCCACTGTAATGTACACAGTCACCATTGTCATATACACAATTCACCAGGGCCTCCACACCGACTCCTCTGCCACCGGTCGGACAGCCGCTGGGTGAGCGGGGTGGGGATACACGGGGGACATGGGAGGAGCACTGGAGGGGGACGGGGGGTGAGGAACAGGGGATCGATTCACATTTTTCTCACACGGCACCGGAGAGACCGCTTCCTGTTTTACACAGGTCTCAACCTTTCTGTCGGAAGAGGGCGCCGCATATAAAGGCACGGCTTGCACGGGCGAGGGTGACGTCAGGACGAACGCCACCTGCCCTGTGGGTAATGTTCCGGGGATGAACTGAACGGGCGTGGTTAGGCACTGGGGGTTCATCTGAAGCTGCTTGTGGGGTGATGGTTGTTCTTTCACCATTGTCTGAAACGCTGAAGGGTTTCCCATGCAGGCAGTTCCGGTGTAACCCGGATGTTGAACATGTATCCCATGATGCGCTGTTTGCTGCATGGCAATGTCCGCCACGGGTTGGGAGTTTAGAGTTTGGAGACAGTTCGCTAGATGACCGAGAACGCGTGTCCGCATGTCATCCCCGATTGTCGGGACGCTGGACAGATATCGCATCACCTCCCCAGCGCACTCGTTGAACCCAGCTCGATATTTAGTGATGACGTCAGGGCTGGTTGCCATGGCAGCTGAAAGATCATAAAATCATCTGAGTTAATTCCAAAAGTTCATGTGGTTACCACAATACAAACAGGTAAAGATCGAAAACAAGATATATGTTTAAGAAATTTCGATTTGAACAATCAGGTACGCCAGCATTACAGAGAAGAGACCCGTGAAAATACGAGGTCGAATAGGTCTTCAGCAACCCATGCTTGCCGTAAAAGGCTACTATGCTTTGTCGCTAGAGACGACTAACGAGATCGGGTGGTCAGGCTCACTGACTTGGTTGAAGCATGCCATTGTATCCCAATTGCGTGGATCGATGCTCATGATGTCAATCACTGATTTGTCTGGTCAGACTCGATGATTTACAGACCGCTGTCACATAGCTGGAATATTGCTGAGTGCGGTGTCAGACAACAACAAAACACAGAGAAGAACTTTGAGTAATTTAAGAGGGTGAATGATTGTGCGCAAAAGTAAGCAACATGACGGGATCCGACTGAGCGTAATCGGATCTGGGATTGACAAACCAGTGGGTGATAGCATGAGCATAAACTCACGTCACTGTTGTATAACTCACGCTGGGATTAGAAGCGGGCTAACCTATATGGGTCGATGATATCATGTTTCATTATGCACAACCAACAATACCCAACACCTTCATATAAATATCAGAATACTTTTATAAGAACTCACCAGCCATTTGATGTCTCTGGACGTTCCTCAGATGTTTCACTGTAAGTTCCAAGATGTCAGCTTTCTCCAATTTAGAATATTGAGCATTCTGAAAATAAACAAAGACAATTAGTTCACAATTAATTTACATATTTTTTAACCCTTTTTTTAATTCCTACAAAGCAGTCAAAAACTGTTCAGACGGTTGATAACGCAGATACAGCAAAGATGAATATTTATTTTTTCCACAATAACGTTATATAATAATGGAATATTCTGGAAGAAGCATCTAAATTTTCCATTCTCTTGACGATTTGCCACGTGTTTAATTGTTCTTGTAAGTACAATGTAAGCGTATGTGTGTTTAAGTAGAATGGATCTGTAATCTATAAGCTTAAAGATAATGAAGAGCTTATGACACTTTTGAGGTGGCCGCCCTTTCAACGCAGTGCTGGTAATCCCGCCATGTTCGCACATCGGGTGGCGAGATTAATTAACGAAAAACGTCATTTCGATGGAATTAATTACTGATGCAGGCGCACCAGCTAGAGCTGCTCTTTGCTCGAATGGATGGAGGTAGGGCGGCGTAAATGACCCTTCAATGAGGGACAAATGGTTTGATAACTACAAGAAGATTAATTCCGTTACACGAGGAACGTTAAACCGGAAACCTTTGCCTTATTATCATTTGATTATTCAACGTCACGAAACTGTTTCAGATTTAATTCAAATGATATTTCCTGCTGAACTAACGACTTCCTTAGACTTAGTTTGTTATTCTGATCCTCTTTCTTATTTCCCTATTGGTGGAAGAAATTTGCATTTTATTAAAGATTGCATTTTTATGATCACTGAGATTGATATATGTATTGGCAAGGAAAGGACTGAGTAATTCAAGTGTAAATCATTCAGTGGATCTTAACCGTACTTACACATTCCTTATCCGAGGGGTCATAATCTTAGTATAATATACCCCTGCCTCAAGAAGATGGATAGGTTCAAGATGTACTCACGTCTTTTTTCATTGCTTGCAGAACCAAAGTTTTCAGTTGCCCCAAGCACGTGTTGATGCGTGCCCGTCGCCGTTTCTCCATGAGAGGCTTGTTACTCTGAAAGCATAATGATGACGTCATAGCACGTGCAAAACAGAAAGACGACAGAAAGAAATATATAAAGTTTGGCTTTGTATTTGAATCTATCATCTAATTCAATATTAAACTTTTGTTTTAACGTAATTTAAAAAATAAGTCATTATAATTGATAAGCTTAACAAATGTAACAACGTCATATAGCTGGAATATTGTTGAGTGCGGCGTTAAACAACAAACAAACAAACTTATTCTAGATATCTACAAATTGATCAAATGGGCTGAAATTGACAACAGTTTTAAAGAACATATCGTCTGAATGGTTAGACATTTCGATTTGACAGCTGTCAAGAACTTTACAAAAAAAACAAAAAAAACTCATTATTCAAAGTCAATATAATGCAACTGAGTATATAAATCATTTACTTACTTTTCTATAAGACGATTTACATTCTTCCCCTTTTCTAGGCGAAGAAGGACCGCTTGAATCGCTTTCTGTCATGATCAACAAGTGGTCGTCTGCTCCTATGTCGTCTGCTCGGCTACAGGTGGTTGTTTCTGCTCAGGCAATTCCTTCAGTCAGACCGTGAGAATGACGTATTTTCCTGGTGACATAGCTATATAACCAAGGTCCATCATACCTCTAGCGACCGGTGTGAAGATATCCCGCAACCCGTTCCCACGCTCGCATGCCGCCACGCTCGACCAATCACATAGCTCCATTTTGGGCACGACAGTTATCAGGCAATTTCATTGGCTGTACGTGTTGTGACAGTGTAACTGTAATCTGACCGCGAGCGACTCAGCTGTCAATCAAGAGGTGATTGTGACACAAATAAACACTAGCGCGTGCCAGGCAGCCGGAGCAAGCCGACGGTCCCCTGTGGGAAAACCCCGCCCCTAGGGGCCCGAGAGTAGGGTCGCGGTGCCTGAGCACACAATCTGTTGATAAGTATGCTGCTACTCGGCTCAGCAAGTGCCCCGTGGTCCGACTTATCAACAAGCCAGCACATTCCGGCGGTGGGACTTCATCCGCGTCACGAGGTTGACGGGGCGACTTGAATACAACCCGCGTCGCTTTATCGTTATAGTTCTGTCATCTTAACTATTAGACTATTAGTTTGTTTGTTGTTTAACGCCGCACTGGACAATATTCCAGCTATATGACGGCGGTATGTAAATAACTTAGTCTTGTCCAGACAATCCAGTGATTGATATCATGAGCATCGATCTACGCATTTGGGATACGATGACATGCATCAACCAAGTCAGTGAGCCTGACCACCTGATCCCGATAGTCGTCTTACACCAAGCATAGTCGCCTCTTACGACAAGCATTTTCGCCTCTTACGACAAGCATAGTCGCCTCTTACGACAAGCATAGGTTTCTGAAGATCCATTTTATTTGACTTATGAGACTATAAGTGAGTGTGTGTGATTTTGAAACAAATCTCCAGCTACGTCACTTCCGCATGTAAATAATCGAGTCTGGGTTTGAGAAACCCGTGATTGACAGCATGAGCAAAGAGCAATGCCGTCTAGGCAAGACGTCACACAATATGCCGAGGCACGTTTTGCAACCACCCAATCTTCGTTAGTCGGATTTCACGACACGCATGTGTACAGGGCTCTCTTTTGTCAGAGTTTTATGAATGTACCTTAACGTCTTGGTTTTATGGTTTAATGTGCCCGGATGAAGACCGCTGTTTGGGTTTTAGGTCACTGGATTGCCTGGTCCTGGCTCGACTATGTGAAGGGCGGCGTGATACAGCAGTCATATCTGTGACTGCGGCGTTGAACAACACTCACCCATTCACGCTATCGTACCTGGTACCAACAAATTTGTTTGATTGTTTGTTTTTAACATGCAACTGGGATCGATGACATGCATCAAACAAAGCAGCGGGCGTGACCACCCAATCCCGTTAGTCGCCTCTTACGACAAGCATAGTCGCCTTTCACGGCAAGCATGGGTTGCTGAAGACCTATTCTACCGATGGCATTGTAGGCTAAGGACATTGCCACATGCTACACTGTTTCTTTTGGCCTAGTGCCATTCAGAGTGTACGGGTGGGTTGGTGGTTTACGACATTAAGGAATGAATGACTATCAGTAACGCGGGGTGAAACAATAAACAAACAATCCCTCTATTGGTAAATGGAATTTTCCCTATGTACAGAAGTTATTTATTATTCTCAATGCGTTTTCTGAAAGGACCTGTGGGCAGGAAAATGAAACAAAAACTTGATGTAAATGTTTCTCCGGAGCGACAACTCTATGGCTTCCTCTTTACTGACCTCAAGTGAGATTATTCTTTTTTAAATTTAATTGAAGTAAGTTAGTCAACAGTCTGGGTGAAATAACGTTCTCTGTATCATTTCATATTTTTTATATTTTTTTTAAAATAAATGGACAGATACGTTAACCAAGTAGTAAAGAAATGTTTGATAATTTTTTCATGAGATCCCAAAGCCCGGGAACACGAATGACAGCTATTTTCATATCTGTTTCACTAAAACGACAGCTGCTGTAACAACCACCAACCGAATCTCCCTGCGGGAAGGTGCGCGAGCGTGTCACGTGACAGTGGTGGGAAATATCGCGAGATGTACCTATCTTATCACCGCGAGCAACAGTAACTAGGCATAGTTCACCTTTTGTTTCGAGTCAGTGCCTGTAATTCGGACCAAGTTAATTTTAGAACTTGGAAACATAACAGACAGACATTTCGGAAACGGAGAATTGTTTTATCTGGGTGTATGGGGCTCGAGAGCAGACGGTAATATCGGGCCGAGCTTCCGTTTCAATGACTCATTAAAACGATTGCTGCTCGTGACATTGACAAGAAATTTTCTGCCCCATGAAAACTTGACCACATAATTTGATCCGGATTGGACAAGCGTGAACTGCCTATGTGCTCATGTGTATGAAACATCATCTCATCCAGGGTTGTTTCAACCGTTAGGTGAAGCTGGTTATTGTTCGTTTAATCTCAATAAATATTTGAAACGTTATTCTTGCTTTCTGCACACAATGCATGCGCAATGGGTATAACACATTTATTTTCGGAAATTGCATAAACAAAGTAAGCCACAAACCGTTATACGCGTCAATCAGTTTTGTTTGTATTATGTTTTTTTACAACCTCCCTGGAAGAATAATAGCTGGTTCTAACAATTGTTAGCAACTGAATATTACACATTAAACAGTTGTTGACACTTCAACCTTTTTTAAATCCGATTGAGCTATACAGGTGATCAAAGTTAAATACATATAAATACATCGACCTTTCCCAATAATGGATATAGTTGTAAGAGCGATCAATCAGCGCGTGGTTTTCTGTAAAGTTTTCGCGTCATGTTTTAGTGAGGAAGTGAGTTATGTTAAAGCCGCTATCAGCAACATTCCAGCAATATCACATCGAGGGACACCAGAAATGAGCTTCACACATTGTACCCATGTGGGGAATCGAACCCGGGCCTTCGTCGTGAAGAGCTAGCGCTTTAACCACGGGGCTACCCCACTTCCCCTCATTGGAATAGGAGCAAAGTTTTTTATACATTATTTAATTTACGAACGCATAAAATGTTGACACCATTTGATTTTATTCAGTATCAGAGGAAAGTTTTATACTTTCTCAATATCCGGACACAACGTTCGCATAACTTTATAACAATAAATATCGTCTATATACAATATTGATAATCTGCCATTGAGTATAATATTACAGTGTATGCTAATTCGTCTTACTGAGGGGCGCTCTGGGAAATATTGTGGAGGCAGATTGAATATCGATTGTGTTTTCAAGCAGATTTTTTTACCAGGAAAACACAGCATTAAGATTGAGATAAGTAGTTGTTTGATATTTGAAATCCGACATCTAACGCCCGACCCTGCTTGCTGAGTTGTCCCCCCTGCCAGGCCGCTCCCCACCCAAAATGCACTTAAAGAGGATTCAGGTACTTTAGCTGGCGACAGCAAAAGACGAGCGAAGGGATTTATGTGAAAACCCTGGCGGGGTATTTTAGGCCCCTCGTAACTAGCTGATCGTGTGTATTATGCTCTAACATACAGCAACGCGGCTATTGTGATAATCCGTTAATCCTTACATAGCGGAGAGATGTGACTTAGTAATCTGATAATCCACTCGTGGCTCTCGCAGCCCTGTTGGTCAACAGACAGCGCGAGCGCGACACAGACTCCGTATGCAAATGAGCTCGTGCTGTTTGATGACGTCACGTCTGTTGTCGGCCGTCTACAATTTTTCAACTGTTCGCACCCTGGAAGGTGTTAACGGCAGCGAAAACATGATAGGAATGATAGCTATTGTTACCATATCGTCAGATTAACCGCTTTCTATGTATGTGCTTACGCCCGTTGTGCATTTCATCTTACATGCCGTACGTCAATCTAAATTTAAATTACTGTAAATATTTAAATTCCGAATGCACCAAAGCATCAGCTTAGCGTCAACTACCCCACCATTTCGTTCATCTGAACACATAGTGAATGTACGACTCTCATTTCAGGTTTTAACGTTAAGGGCGACGCAAACTGTCAGTTTATATAATGCACATATTTAAAACATATTTAAATTAAACGTGATATGTTTAGATTAACTTATAGTCCCCGAAACATGTGTAGAGATATATTAATATTATTCCATAAAAGAATTCTCGAGTCTTTACATTTATGGAGCTGAAAAGTGGATGCGCATACCTCAGCTGCTGGAGATGAGAAGGGATGAGAATCAAATCGAATTAAATATACAATATATGTTCTGGAGTTTGTAAGGGAAACTATGATATATTCAAAATCTGAACATAAATTGGATTTAGAAAAGTTATCAACATAACTGTTTTGTTCGAGTAAACACCATGCATGAAACCGGTCAATAGGCGTGGCCGTGTTTATTTTTTTTGTAATTTCTCCAATTTTTTTCTGTGTGCAGTCAAGTATCGGACTCGTGTAGAAAAGTTTAGAAGCAACTCTCTTTCAAAAAGGAGGGACAGTTGATAAATTATTCCTTTTGATGAAAATAAAACGACAAAGATGACAATGACAACCCCATTGTCAATACACAACTTGACGAAGTACATGTAAAGATACATTAATCTCAGATCTGAAAACCTCCAAAACATCTCAACTGGCCGTGCTTATACATTTACCATTACAAGTCGCACGTTACTTGAATGTAATTGTCGTGGTTGTACGTTTACCAATACAAGTTTCACGTGACCTATGTGTAGTTGGACGTGATTGTACATTTACCAATACAAGTCTCACGTGACCTATGTGTAGTTGAACATGGTTGTACGTTTACCAATACAAGTCTCACGTGACCTATGTGTAGTTGGACGTGGCTGTACATTTACCAATACAAGTCTCACGTGACCTTGTGTAGTTGGGCGTGGTTGTACATTTACCAATACAAGTCTCACGTGACCTTGTGTAGTTGGGCGTGGTTGTACATTTACCAATACAAGTCTCACTTGACCTATGTGTAGTTGGACATGGTTGTACATTTACCAATACAAGTCTCACGTGACCTATGTGTAGTTGAACATGGTTGTACGTTTACCAATACAAGTCTCACGTGACCTATGTGTAGTTGGACGTGGCTGTACATTTACCAATACAAGTCTCACGTGACCTTGTGTAGTTGGTCGTGGTTGTACATTTACCAATACAAGTCTCACGTGACCTTGTGTAGTTGGGCGTGATTATATATTTACCAATACAAGTCTCACGTGACCTTGTGTAGTTGGGCGTGGTTGTACATTTACCAATACAAGTCTCACTTGACCTATGTGTAGTTGGACGTGATTATATATTTACCAATACAAGTCTCACGTGACCTTGTGAAGTTGGACGTGGTTGTACGTTTACCAATACAAGTCTCACGTGACCTTGTGAAGTTGGACGTGGTTGTACGTTTACCAATACAAGTTTCACGTGACCTATGTGTAGTTGAACATGGTTGTACGTTTACCAATACAAGTCTCACGTGACCTAT